TTCCTAAATATGTGTGGTATAAGTCTTTCTCCTATGTTTGTTTATGTAGGCCACCAGAACCCTCATTAGTAACTTGTGTAGACTAGATACAGGTATGAAAAGTAAATCACTCATACTTATAGAGTTAGAATATCCAATCTATTTTATAAGGTGTGCACACATGTGCATGAGATAGGACCTAAACTCCTTATTAGAATTCAAAGGAAAAAGAGAGTAACTTCCTCCCCAGATAATGAGGTAAGTTTCAGTACTGATACTGAAGAATGAATGTAAATTTTGTAGGAGAGGATAATGCTGAGGAAATTAGCAGACACAGTTGGGAACGTTCAAAGCATATTTAATGGACGAGTAGGGGCTGGTTTGGCTTTTCTAAAGTCATTTAAAAAAGGCAGAACCAAGTTGTAGAAGGCAGCTAATGCTAGCTAGGCTGAGTAATTCCACGAAACTGATTATTTTTGCTTAGATGTCTTAAGGACTGGCTAACAGCTTCTTTGTTGTTTTAAAGTATGTTGCTATTTCTTTCCTTTTTATTAGCATATGTTTGCTGTATATTTGGGATGGCAATTTGACTGAAAATAGAGATTAATGACTATTGCTCAGAAAGGTGTAAAAACTAAAGTGCCACACTATGGCATGTGTGCGTGTGTGCGCATGCGCGCGCGTGCGCACGCACACACACACACACACACACACACACACACAGCAGCTAAAAGAAGCAGACTATGGTAGCAAGAGGTCAGAGTGGAAAGAATAAGCTAAATCTAAAACCTGGAATCAGAAGTAATAGGTAACTCGAGGCAGAAGGCCAGGAATCCTGTATTTCTTGAAGGAAATAGCCTTCTTTAAAACAAGATTCTGATTTTTGAAAGTTTTGTACTCAAGGCTATGTGAAATGGTTGGTAGTGTGCATTTTTGCCTCCTTGATTTCATTTTTTCTTGAAAGACGGCTACCTTCAGTGATACCTTTTGTTCCTGCCATCTGACCTCCAGAGAGGCAATTCCTCTTAGAAAATCTTGGCCAGATGCCTAATAGTCCTCTCTTTTGTGGTTTCCCCTAACACAACTGAAATAGTTTTGATTCCTTTCAAAATGACTCTATTAAATATTAAAGGATAAACAAGAAATAAAATACATGAAGTCCTGCCAAATTTATCTAATATCTCCGGTATCACCATTCCTGGTCAAGCCACTCTCACTCCTCAAATCTCTTTTTCCTTCTGTTGCCAGAATTATCTTCTTAAAATCCAGATTTAACCATATCACTCCTTCTGTAATTCTTTTGTGATTTCTCATTTGTACATGGATTACAGTTTAGGATATTGACTTTCTTATGTGTTTTACTGGAGTGAAAATGTCTTATAATTACAGAATGCTTATGCATCTGATTGGAAAGCATTTACAGTAAACTTAAAATTGAAATATTTGGAAAGAGTGAAGGACCTTTCTGTAAATATATGGGAAAATTCTAACTCTGTCCTTAAGCCTTCCATAGCATCAAGTGGTTCCTACTATTGTTGGGTTTTCTGTTTACTGCACATTCAGGCTTCCTCAAAGGGAAATTCTCGCAGGATACTGCAGCCCTTTACCCCAACTTAACCTGAAGAGATCTACATTAACTCATTTTACAACTTGGTGTCCTGCATGAGATGTTTTGAGGGTTGCCTGCTGCTTTCAGACAAGATGGAGTCATGATTTCTAAAGTTCCTATCAGTTCCACCATGCTCTGGGAATCTGGCCCCATTCTTTTTTAATTAATTTTATCTTAATTTTCTTTTGTATAATGAATAGCTGGTTAGAAAATAATAGCACTTTTAGGACTGGCCAGATAGCTCAGCAGATTAAAGCTCCTATTTAGGCAGCCGCAGTGACTGGTGTTCATTCCCAGGATCCACATGCATTCCGGCCCTGCCCTTGGGGAGTGCTGAAGGGAGACTGAGACTGGGCGTGGTGGCACACCTGTAATCCCAGCACTTCAGAAACTAAAAACAGGATGATCACTAGGAGTCCAATCTGTGTAGTGAGACCTTGTAGACCCTGTACTAAAATTCATAAAGAAGAGAAAATAATAGCATTTCTGAGTTGCAAGAGACTTTTGTAATTACCTTGCTCGCTGTTCCAAAATGAGCTCCAAAAGCTAAGGCTCCTGAGAAATGTTCATTGCTTATAAGAAGGACTAAGTAGCCAAACATGTTGAGAGCAAACTTTTGTCACATTGCTCATTAGCATTTTAGGCTCTGAAAATCTTATAATAAGGACACCTATGCAATCTTAAGTCAGCACTTTTACATTTATCTGATCAATGTGATTTGTTTTTAAATAACACATCTTTTACTTTTTAAATAATTTTATTGAGAAACAAATAGCAATGAGACAGTTTCAAAACCGATAGTTTCAATAATTAATACATTGCATATTGTTGTCTTCTTAGTGGTTATTTGTAATACAAGATGCAGACGTGTTATCCTGTCCACAAACACTATTAGAACAAATATTTCTGTTCATTGAATTAAGAGAAAGTAACTGTATATCTATCCTAATTATTTTGAATATACAGATACAAAATGATCCTTCATTTGTATCCCCTTTTTTGTTTACTTTTGTCAGAGATGGATATTCCATTGTCATTTAAATATTGTAGATGAACTGAAAACGTCATATCATAGGGATATATGTGTACCTATGTTTATAGTAGCATAATTTGGGATAGCCAAGTCTTGGAAACAACCAAGATGCCTATCACCTGAAGAATGGATGAAAAAGATGTGGTATTTTTATACAATAGAGTATTACTCAGCTATAAAGAATGATAAACTCGAAGCCTTCATATTTAACTGGATGCCACTTGAAGATATACTCATAAATGAAATAAACCAGACCCACATGTGTAAATATCGTATAGTCTTCCTAGTATAAGAACTCAAAAAAAGAAATACAAATAGAAAGGTGTAACACAATTAAAGGGAAAGCAAGAATTTGAGGATTGGACAATGAGGAGAGGGCAAGGAGAAAAGCTGGGGAAAATGACAGGGGCAAAGCCATACATTTATACGCACAAGATGGGTAAGGCAATGATCCTGAGAAACATCAGCAGGTTTTCGATACTAGCAGTTAATTGATAGGATTCTCACCCTGACTAACTATATACGCTGATACCTGTGAACTAAGCAACTGCACTGAAGAAAGCAATGTGTAATAGAAGGGTCACACTTGGAATGCCTATCATTCTGGTCTTCTAAATAGGTACTTCTTGTCATGACATACCAATTATTGCCATAGTGTCTCTCAAGTAAATGTTTGTTTAAAAAAAAGGGTAAATATTGTAGTGAGTGAATTCAACAAAGTATTCCAATATAGTCCAGTAGTCCATAATGGTAGTGGGTTCTTCATAGGACTGGCAGTGTCAGAAATATTACACATCTTTTAATGTCCCATGTAGTATAGTTTTGGAAATGCACATATAGTTTAGTTCGCTCTTTTGCAAAAAAATAAGATTGAAATAGAAAAGAATTTATGCGGTATCTTAGAACTACTTACCAGGTCTCAGTCTGATATTTATTCTTTGACTGGCCCTGCTTAACTTCAACTAGGTCATACATTTTAAAACTTTTTATTAGTACATATTGGTAGTATATAATATTTGCATTCATCATAGGGGCTAGATCCATGTACTTAATATAAACCTTAATTCTTTTTGTTCTCCTTCTGCTCTTCTTCCTCCCCTCTCTGTCTCTGGGTCTCCATCCCATTTGCAAAAGGTCTATCTCCTTGTTTCTTGTTGTCTATGTTTTATTTTTTAAACTAGTCATACTTTTGGTTTTGTGTATAGGATATGTTATGTAATATTTATACTTGTGTGTCTGATTGATCTCACTTAATATCATGGTCTCAAGGAGAATTCATTTTCCTGCAGATGCATCAGATTTATCTTTGTAGTGGAGAAAGAAGTATTCCATTATGCATAAATACCACAGTTACTTTATCCATTCATCTGTAGTGGACTTTTATCAGAGTGTACCATACAGCTTTACCAATCACTTGCTTAGCTCCGTGGCATGTGAATAGTAATGTAAGGCAGTGCTCTGATTGAAACTGGTAAAGAGGGGCTGGAGAGATGGCTCAGTGGTCTAAAGCACCTATTTGGAACAAGCTTGGAAAAGCACAGGGACCGCGGTTCGATCCCCCAGCACCACATGCCAGCCAGCCGTGCCCCCTGGTGGGCTGAGCTGGCCACACACACACACACACACACACACACGCACACAATAGATAAATGTAAAAAAAAAAAGAGATTTAAAAAAAAAGAAACTGGTAAAGAAATGAAGTAATGGATAGATATATGGATGGATTTCAGCTTTTATGAGGGAAATTCCTGCTCCCCTATGTACCGATCTTTCAAAAACTGCAAAATGTGATTTTTGATTTTCCAGAGTTTTCATCTGTCAGTAGTTCATGGACATTGACTCATTCTGTTTATTGGGAAAATGCTGTCAGCAGTTTTGCCTCAGGGATAATTTGATTAGGGTTGCTGCTGTTTGACACCATTCAGGAAAATGTTACACTGTAAAAGGTATTGGATTTGTCACAGAATGATATCAAAGGGCAGCTGGGGCAGGCAAGCTAATAAAATGATAGCACAGTTATTAACATTGGGTTTTTTATTTCTTTTTGGCATTTTTATTCACCAGTTTTTGTTAGTGTCACTGCCTTCCTAAGAGGTAAATACGTGACCAATTTAATGATTTTTATGTAGCAAGGGCAGAAACTAATACCACATGAAAAAAGTCATAGTAAGTTGATTTAGAGCCCAGGCTTTCTGGAATACTGCTTCTGTGCTCTGAAATTAAATATCTGTGATAGAAAAAACATTTTTGTACAAAAGGAAGATTGGAATTCAAGGAAACAAAATGCTCATGTTGACCACATCGGCTGTAATGGAGCTTATCTGATGTAGTGAGTCAGCCTCTGTGAATCTAACTGTGTGTGTGCTCTCTTTTGTGCAGAGGACCATCATCCAGGACTTGCCAGAGGCCACAAGAAAACATGGGGAGGGGTAAGTTTCTCTCTTCCCTTTGAAATAACTTAGGCTATATTAACTCGCTATAGCCAGGAAATTAAATTTGTAACATGAGATATGTTTGTGATATGAATTTGGATTTCCTGTTAGTGCTGGAAAGTTTTTGTCTGAAGTGGAGCTGTATGTTGAAAACCCACGTACCATATGTTGCATGATAAGCCTTTTTCCCTTCTTTTGTGGTGATTTCTCAGTATAGGGAGAGACAGCACTCAAATGCTATAGAAAGGCCCAACTCCCATATTGGTTTTTTTTTTTATGTCTTAGTAAATTGCTCATATGCCTCAGAAGCTGTCTACATTTTTTTAAAGGTGACGCAAAAAAATGGCTATGCAACTAGTGACAATGGTAAAATAATCATTTGTGAGGTTGATATATAAATAGCTTTTTTCCCTTATTTATGTATTTGGTACAAGGTCTCACTATACAGCTTGCTTGTACTTACAGTGATCCTCCTGTTTTCAGCCTCCCCAGGGATTACAGGCATGTGCCACCATGCTGGGACTCTGTTGCTGGCTCTGTGTGCCCCAGGGATGGGGCCAACATGGCATGTGGAACTGGGGATCGAAACCTTGTCCCTGTGGTTGCCAAAGCAGGTGCTTAGTCTGCTGAGCTATCTTGCCAGGTCTTACAAATAGCTTTTGTTTTTCTTAAAATTAAAGTTAAATATTAATGTTCATCAAATGAGTTCTTTCTGCTTATATTTGCTTTCTCATTGTACCATTTATGGGCATTACACTAAAGGTAAATTTAAGGTAATTTCTTTTTTTATTGCAGTATCAGTGATAGAACTCAGGACCCTCAAGCACTTATTTTACTGAGCTATCTCCCCTGCCCAAGGCAGCTTCATTGTTACTGTTTTCCAGGGGCCACAGTGACTTCATATAACTCTAATGATTGTAGATGAGAGTCCTGTAAGCAGGGCACAGTGGTGCATACATTTAATCCCAGAACAACGAGGAGCGCAGGAGAATTGTGAGTTCAAGCCCAGCCTAGTCATGCCTGTCCCCAAATAAAATATACAAAAAGGGCTAGAGATGTAACTTGGAGCAGAGACTCTGATTTCAATCCACAGTAATGCAAATAAATAAATAAATATTTAAACAGTAAATATAAAGAGTGTTATAAAAGACGTCAGAGGAAGACTTATATGTGGTGTAGTATAGTGAAAAAAGTACTAGGCACAGAGTCAGAAGCCCTGAATTGATGCTCTGATTCTACTACCTACATCAATTGACAGAGCCTTTCTATAAGATGAGCTTATTTGTTCATCTTTGAAGTGGTATTAATGGCTTTTCAACTTTTATGCCCAGGAAGTTGTCACTGACATCACATAATAAAGGATGTAAACATTTTGAGAACTCTAAAGTATGACAGAACAGACCAGTGATGTTTGCTTATTGTTGTTGAATATGTATATATTTGTTTACTGGTTCTTTTAATGGTCAAGGTGAAATGATTTCATGAGATGCTTCAGTAAGCAGCATGGCTGGGACTAGGTTGGGCAATTAATTTGATAGTTCCTCCTTCAGTTGCACTTTGTTTACCCCATCTTTGCATGGGTCTTGGTAGGCTGCCCCAACATTATGGATCATTCATAGAAAATACCTTCCTTCCTTTGTCGAGCCAACTTGCACTCTGTTTTCTCCAAAGCTTCTCCTGGAAATTGCTTTTCCTTACAAATTCTGGTTCTTTCTAAGTCATCGCTATCTCTTTTTTAATTTTTAAAATACTAATGCAAAATAAAAGACAAATTGTTTCAAAATTTAAAACTAAGCAATTTCTGGGACTAATCCATGTAATTCCCTGCCCCAACATCAGCTGTCATTGGAAGCTTCCAGGGCATATCACTGTGACTTGGTTCTCACTCAATCCTAAATGCTTCAGCAAAATTTGGAATATGTCCTAATTTTTCAGATACTATCGTACCCTTATGGACGAGAGGCGTGTACTGAAACAAGTGACTCATGCTCCTCCTTGTTTCCTCTTCTTTCCAGACTGATTCATTAGTCATTAGCAATGGGACCATTAGTGCTTACTTCAAAAGACACATCAGCAAAGTATTTGTTCAAATAGCCAGGCAATTAATAGAGTTCTTGCTAAAGAACAGGACATGATAATGCAGTCTGCAAAGATGGGCATGTTTCCAACCTGGAAATGAAATAAAAGAAGTGCTTCACATAATGTTCCTTTTACAAGCATGATAGCAGTCCTCTTCACTGCTTTTTGCCTGCTCCTGTTGACCATTCTAAAGGCATCCTTAATATCCTGAATGTCAAAGATATTCTTAATTTCTAAGCTTTCTTTATTTGCCTGATTTCATTGCCAAACTGTTGACATTATGCATGGAAAAAAAATGCTGCTCTGTGTTCATTTTGCCCTTTTCTGGTGCAGTGCAATGAAGATTTACTGGATTTGACAAACATAGTCTATTATATCATTACAAGGAGAGACAAATGAAAATATTGCAAACATATGGTACCAGCTTTGAAAGATTTAAGGATCTCTGAAAGCAAATAATGCAGAAGGACAATGCTTCAGTTTAGGTGAGAAATTAAAATTCAGGAGGATTATTTAGGATTCTTTAACAATGATGAAAAAATAATTTATAAATATGTATTAGAATTATCATTTTATTTGTGTGATGTGAAAGATTATAAATGGAGTCACTTTTTAAGATGGCAAGGGATAAGAATGGACTTGTGTGCTTAATTTTTCATTAGACCACCACCGATGTCCATTGTGTATGGCACCAAAATATTATATACTATACATGAAACATTAGCCAGGGCTTGATATTTATTTAGGTCTGTTAAGAATCTAATTTTTTTATTAAGCATTTATAGAGTACTTAATAATTCAGAAAAGTTGTTATACATTATCTTATTTGAATTGCAATAATATAAAATGAGGATAATAATCTCCTTTACATGTCAAAAACCTGAGTCTGATAAGAAAAAATATTCTCTGCAGTCTGAAGCTTATAAATGGAGAGCCAAAGTGCATAACTAGGCCATATTTTGTCATGTGCACCTTTTCCTTCCCAATAATAAACCATGTAATGAATATTGTGATTATCATTAATATTGAAGGTTGATTAAAAAGTTATGATCCCTCTGTTTCTGTGAGATGTATGAAATCAATTATCAGTGATATATGTACATCATAGGAGGCTAGACAGGAAAAGGGAAATACTTCAGCTCATAGCAGCATTCACGCTAACAGCTAAAACACATGCATGTTAGATGGTGGGGTGCCTCAAATATAAAAATCATCTAAGCAGCAGTGGTCTATGGAACTAACTAAAAGCCAGCTGCACTGATTGGCAGTGATCATAATAGTTGTCAAAACAATTCATTTCAGATATTTTTCTCTGTGAACACACAGCAGAAGGAGTGTAAAGGGCTAAACATTGCTGACCTATGTGAAAATCACTTTTTGATGGATGATTGTTTTTAATCTTTGTGTCTTTCTTGATACAATCAATATGCAACCTGTGATAGAAAAATGAAATAAAATTTTAAGTTAAAAACAAATTTAGAGGGCCGGGGAGATGGCCCAGTGGCATAAGCTCTTCCCAGGCAAGCTCAAGGACCTGAGTTCAGTCCCTGCCCTCCTCAAAAAGCAAAAACAAAAACAAAAACAGAAACAAAGAAAAACAAATTTATTACAGTAAAAGACAAGTTGCTATAAATCCACCTCAGAATACCCATACCTCCTTCTGCTTCAAACACAGATTTCCCTCATTCTTGTCACTTTCTGATGAAGACTTGAAGTCCTACTTCATGAATATCTTTAGTTGTGAAGTTATGGCTGCCTCAGTGTCCTGAATGCATCGAAAATGTTTGCCTCTCCCAGGTCTTTTGACTTTGGAGATAAGCCAAAAGTCACATGGTTCCAGATGTGGTTAACAGGGTGAATGAGGACATATAATGTTCTTATGATCCTACATTTCCATTGGATGCTACTCAATAGCAATTTTCATGGTACTTTTTGTTACCTTAGAAAGATACTCACAACAAAGAACATTTAGAACTGCTTTAGAACGTGGCAAGAACAATAGAATAAGTGCCGTTGACATAAGGGGGAGTAGTTTGTGAGCAATTTGCTTTTTTTTTTCCTGAAGAGCAGTTATAACTGTTAATTTTATTGAAAAACAGAAAAAGTCACTAAATGTAAACATCTTTATAACAAACACCATTGTACTCACTAGCCAGAGTTAATAAATAATTGATATTTTGTCTGTACAGATACACGTAACTAGCAATTTAAGAATATGCCAACATAAACAGACATTTTACAAATACAGTAATGTCTTGTTTCCCTCTCTGGTCCCAAAGCTTAGAATTAATCACCAACTTAATTGTTGTTTATCTAAGGGCCTGCTTAGACAAGCACAGGACTAGGGTTTGATCCAGGGCCCCCTATGCTGCACTGGCCCTGCCGTTGGGCACGATGAGCCAGCCACTGAGAATACGCTTGGTGGCACACGCCTGTGATCTCAGCGCTGGGGAGGCTAAAACAGGAGAATCACACGAGTCCAAGCTGTGTAGTGAGACCCCTTACCAAATACACACATTAAAAAAAGAAAAAGTTGGGACTGGGGAGATAGCTCAGTGGAATAAGCGCTTCTCTGGCAAGCACAAGGCCCTGAGTTCAATCCCTGGTTCCACAAAAAAAAAATAAATAAATAAAATAAAAAAAGAAAAAGTGTTTATCATTTCAGGCTGTTTTTAAACTTTTATCCACATGTGTTTGTAAACAAAATGTAATGTTTTATATGTTTAAAACTTTCTATCGAAGGTATCATTCTGTGTCTTGTTTTTGCCATTGGATATTACTTTCTTGAAAGTTATCTATGTTGATTCTTACAGATTTTCTTTTTTTTTTTTTAGCAATTTGCTTTTTAATGTAGTAATTTTTTAAATAAATTATATGTTCACTGTATATTTCAATCACACATGTGATACAGCATGGGA